CTCGTGTACCCCAAATTGTCGTAGCCTCCTGCTTCTGATACGGCCAGATTCACAATTTGAGAAGTTTTCATACCTGCAGCTCTTCTAAAATTTATCGCTGCTTTGACTGCATCACTCATACGACGTTTCCCTTTCATGTAGTGTCTATATTCTCTCGGGATCGTTTCATGTGTGTGTACATCATCAAACTGGTGCACGTACCACTTCCCATCGACATTGTGTTGTTTAACACGCATCTTGGCTCTGCAGTTAAATCTGGTCTCCCCTCTTGCTTCTCTCTTTCGTTCTGTGCTCTTCATGCGCCTCTTTCCCTCGCCAGAGCATACATAGTCACGCCATATCATAACTTTGTTCTTATCACGACCAATGTCTGATTTTCTGATGTCGAAGCCTTTGACTAACCCGTAGTCCATGTAGAAATCATAGGCTTCTTCTGTATCATCGAACTTCATTTTTTAATATCTTCAGGCTGTAGCAATAAGAGATCGGCGACATTATCTTCCTGGGTGGTGTGACTTGTTCCGGCACCAGCGTTTTCTTGGACTCCCTCCGACGTCAATACTAGGACTCCCTCCGACGTCAATGGTGAGTCTGCCTCCGACGTCATGTCACGGCTGGAAAGTTTGGGGAACCAAGGACGTAGATTACACAACCCTACTGGGAATGATGGCCGAATTAATGATCAACGGGCCACTTAATAATTATCCCCATTAATAACACGATTTGTGATATCTTTATTTTTGGTAGGAACGAGTTGCACTTTCTGTTCTTTATCTTAGTGATTTCTTTACCATTTCACAAATAACGAAAATATTTAAAATGAAAAACCTTTCGTAGTAAAGCCAAACGCCAGCTGACTCTAGGTGTCTACTACGTGTATGGGGAAGGATCAAATATTAATATGAGCGAATATTTACTAATACCACTCAATTCTCTATTCAATCGAAGAAAGTATCTTTTTAATTTTAGGTTTAATAACTACCCATGCTTATCCCAAGTTCATGTACCTTAGACTAAACCCTAATTATTTTTCCGCGGGAAAAATATGGCGCCACAATTTATCCTAACCTTGTATATATAATTAACCTTCATCGGTAGAGCAGTGGTTCCATATCCTTCTTTGCCGCGATTTTGAGTACAGAGTAAAGCTTAGATTACAGGCACAACATGGAAAATAGGGAGACTTACTCGCTCTTCGTCCAAGCTCGTGGTATGTATAATAGCTCTTTTACCATTGAAATTCATTCTACTTAATTTATTAATCGCAGGTTCACTGTCATTGTAGGAGACAGCCGAATTTGTGACTCCAACAAAGAAACCAAGGATACCCAAAGGCAAAGGTGTAAGCACTCCACCCACTCCTGCTTCAGTCATCGTTTTTATTTCGGACGATGAATCTGACTCTGAGGTCACACCAAAGAAGCCAAATGGAAAAAGTATTTGTCTACCTTCTGTTGACAAGGTAATAAAGGTGTCATGTTTGCCATTGAAGTGTTCTTTGCCGTTATTCCGTCATGACGAATGCATTTCAACTCGTGTTTTTTGTGGCCCCTATTCCAGGTTGTTTTGAAGTATAAGCTACCTACCGCTATGGAATACGATGATGAGCAAATCCAGCTTGCTCACTACATATTTTTAGCCCATCTGCCACCTGACGAAGTATTGGTCAAAACCTCCAACAACTCTTGTACGAGGAAGTCATTGTGGTCCTTAAGCCCTCGCTCATTCGTAGATGCTAATGTAATCAACGGAACTCCAAATTTTTTTTTTACATGTCCACTATCAATGCTTTCTACATAGAATTATTTTATAACAACTCGATAGTATCATGAAGTGTTTTTTGTCCATGTTATATTAGGTTATAACAGCGATGGCCTGCCACTTGACTCTAGAAGAGTTGTGGACAAATTCCAAGGACGGAAAAGGAGTGTGCTATCTGCCTGCTGAACTACAGGTTGTGTTCCGATTATACTTAATGACAATTTCCTCTCACCAAAAAAATTACAACACATGTTTTTTTAACGTGAATCATATTGTGTTGACAAAAATTTCAATTGTGCAACTACCACATGGGCAGGAACTAGTGATTTCATGTGGAATAACACCCAAGATGGCATTAGACCTATACCAATCAAAATTCCTTAGTCGAACCAATATGGTGAACAAGGTAAATTGTTCGTCTTAATAAGTATTACATGGTTTGCAGTTTATTTTTTTAATACGTGTTGACAATTTCCGCATATGTAGGTGTGTGTTCCGATGAGAGATAATGCCCATTGGTACTTGGCTGTCATTAAGTTGGACAAGGAAGAAGTCCATATCTTGGATCCACAACCAAATGAAGACCGCAATTCCTTTCGACTACAATCTGTTCAAACAATGGTAAATATGTGACATTGTGCCGTTATAACGCAACAAAATGTATAATAACTCTTTCTAAGTACAAACGTTTCTTAATTTGTACAGATGTGCTTTATGCAAGCCTTGTGGAAGATTCTCTATCGTGAACAAGGTCCGGGATTGTCGCCACCAAGGATTGCGGAGTTTTCGTACCCAACTCCTTCAATTGTGCAACAACAACTTCATCGGTAAGTATGCCCATTTTTTTGTGATATTAAACGACGACTTATCAACTTGGTTCTTATCACGCAATGCTTTTATTTTATGTAGGTCTGACAGTGGAGTCTGGGTATGCATGTGGATGTATGGCGCAAGCTGGGACTCCTCTTATATTTGGGTAAAGACAATTCTAATTCCCATATTAGAAAACCACAATTGATTTTTATTTTTGAATCATGCGGTAAGCACCATGTTTGTTGATGTTGATAGCCATGCACTCAAGTGAGGAGGATGCAGATCGCTTTGTACCTTGTTCGAGAGCCCATGAACTACATAAGGCATATGGTGCTCACGGAAGCAAGAAGAGTTGCACCTCAAGTTGAAGCTGCAGTGGAAGAGTACAAGACAACCCATGAAAAGAGGAAAAAGGAAAGAGAAGAGCACAAGGAAACCCGGTCAACGAGCCCAAAACAACCTGATTTTGAGTTCTAAGTTTTTGGTTTTGATGAAGGACAACAGTTATGTTTTTTTTTCTCTCAGGATGATGGACAACCGTTTTTAATTTGGTTCGGTGAATGCTTATTATTTTTGGCTTTTATATTTGGTTTTTGGTGGTGAATGCTTTTTATATTTGGTTTTTGGTTTGGTTTGGTGAATGGTTTTAATATTTGGTTTTTGGTTTGGTTTGGTGAATGGTTTTAATATTTGGTTTTGGTTTGGTTTTTGGTTTGGTGAATGCTTTGTATATTTGGTTTTTGGTATTGTGAATGCTTTCTATATTTGGTTTGGTTTGGTTTGTTTTTTCGTGGAAATGGCAAAGGGACTTCACCAAAATTCCACCTTCCAACTTGTGAGTGAGGTTGCGTCTGTTCAAGGCTT